TGATGAGGCCACATTAGATTTGCCACAAAATGGCACACATTTTGACCAGTGGAATGTAAACAAGTGAGAAGTTGTAATAGGGTGGGAGTTGGATAAGAGGGTAAGGAGTAGATAGATAGGCCAGAACAGAAAGAGGAGTTATAGTGTAACCGTTTTTGGCAGAACCTCGATGCAAGGATTGACTTCACTTGTCTCTGACGAGTTCGTAGCTTGGTGCGGAGAATGGCAAAACTCATTGATGATGCCCACTAAGATGCCGGCGAAACGTTTGGGAAGGTATTAAGTTGCTGGGAATCATGACAACTACTATGTCATACTAGGTGCGTTCTACTAACTCACCCTGACCACAAGACCAAGTTGCGATAACGAGGTGAATCGAAAGGAGACTGCGACCATACCAGCGGCCACAACATCTTGCTCTTCATATTTTCCGATGCTAGTTATTATCATGAATAATATTAAAAAAGTTTCCCTGTCTCAAGTATGTAGCGATGACGATATCATAACAACTATATACAGCTAGATAAGACTGAGAACAAACCCAATGCTAAATTTTCTTGGTCTCCAATATCTACTATACATAGTTTATATCTGTAAAACTCTTCTTATTATTTACAACTAGCACATTTTGGTGCTATTGTTTATATTCTTGAGTTTCTTTCTTTTAATGTGAACTTCTATTTTTATTATATTTAGCTTTCATCCATTTTGGCGCGTGGTTGGCTTTGTGCCACAATCCAGCCTTCTATTTGAGCTTGCAGGATACAAGCCACCTAAGGGCACTGCACATAGCTCTGTCAGCTCCCCTAGTAAGCCTACTAAACTTGACCTTACATGCATGGCTCCTCTCATCTGGCCAACGGATCATCAAACGACTGGAGAGAGCCCTTTATCCTCTCTACAATCGTCATCCCCATCGAATTTTTCCTCCAGCTCAAATTCTCAAGTAGTGACCTCGAATGTCGAATCCTCTCTGGGCACTTCTCTTTTTCCAACGTCCCCAGCAGTGCCTCAAACTACAGGCCAGCTGCCCAGGGATCGTGAGTGGTTTATTTCTACGCCACGACCTACGCAAATTGGACTTGATTCCGCTGTATCGAATCTCTCCTTTCAAGGCCACCAGGGTCTGGAAATTTCACGATTTTCTGGTTATGCAGCCAATTATCTGCGCCTGCACGCTCACGATTTGATCAGCCAGAAGGGGGATTTTTCTCGTTTTTGTGAGGCGCTGAAGAATGATGAGCTGGTGTGTGCCATTTTGCCCTCTAATTATATTGCAGAAAACTCATTAACTGATTGATTTTTATATGGACGCATTTCTATCTCTAGCAACATAAGCCTTGGTACAAAACTTGTGTTAGCAAATAAATTTACAGGTTTCTAGAGCTCCCGAATATTATCAGCTTGATTTTGCCGAGTTAATTAATATATTCATGCAAACATAGCATACGCGGACTCTACCTAATTGTATTATTTTCTCCTATTCTATCTAGGAATTAGATTTTTTGAAATTTACTAATAGGATACTACCTTGATGGAAAGCTACTTTGCCCATTTTTTTAT